CACATCATGACGTCTGCTCCCTTCCCTGGTCACCTCCGCATCATGATGTCCTGCTCCCTTCCCTGGTCACCTCCGCATCATGACATCTGCTCCCTTCCCTGGTCACCTCCACATCATGATGTTTCTGCTAACTTCCTGGCCACCTCTGTGTCTTCATAAGTCACTGTCTTCCTCTGACCTCTAGGCATGGTTCAATACGTAGACTCAGATTAGGGAGAAAGAACGCACCCGACAGCGGCCTGATTTCAGCTCATGGCCCTGCAGGACAGTAAGTACGCCAGTCTTTCAGGAGTTGGAACGTCCTGTCACTGCCGGTGGCCTTTCCCAAGGCACCCGCTCTGAACTAAAGATATGCACATCTTAAAATGCCGGAGGGCTCCTGGGCACTTCAGGAGAGCATGTCTCCTGCAGACCAACTGTGAGGGGCGCACACAGCTCATGGGTAAGAAGGCCACAGCACTGTGGCAGTAAACGTGTGCAGTGTCAGAACTCCCGGGATACCCAGAGTCCCACATTCAATAAACAGTAATAATGATAATAAAGGAGATAAGCAAGCAACACAGAAAGGAAAAGAGCTAATTGTGCAAGCAGGCTAACAACCGGGCCAGCTCTGAAGCTGGGGATGTTATTGCTGGGCAGCGTGGGGCAGGGCAGGCCTTTCTGTCATTAGCAAGCTTCACAGGCGAGAATGCCAGCTTCAGAGGGGAGCAGCCTTCTACAGGCGGCAAGAGGCGTCAGTGAGGGAAGTTCAAACACATCCCCAAGAAAACGACGAGCTGCTGTGGCCTCAGGCTCTTTACTGCACAAGCCAGAAGCAGCAAGGAGGCAGAGAAGTCCTAAGGGCAGGATGGCGGCAGCAGCCACAGCTCTCTCCCTAAGGAGAATCAAGAGGCAACGCGCCTTGTCTCTGGAGTCCCTTAGGTGGGCTCCCACACCTTCCCACCCGACCTACACGACCCTGCAAGCCCCGAGGCCCCCAGCTCCCCAAGCTGTGCCCGCACTCAGCCCTCCCGTGAACCCCCAGGCCACAGTGCTCTGCCCTCTCCCAGGCATGCACCCCATCAGTCTCTGCACCTCACTGTGCACCAGCCCCTCCCATCTCCAGCCACACTAACCACCTCGGGGTGGTCCTGGGTGGTCCCGGGCTCTGCGCCTGTGGCTGCAGGGGACCCACCCAAGCTGACCTTGCCTGCCCAGCCCCTCGCAGCCCTGGATGAAGAGAAGGTCTGCGAGGAGTTAGCACCAGAGATGCCTTCGCCATTCAACGCGCAGAGGCACACCGCAGGCCCCCACACCCCCCGCTGACCCCCACCCTCCTCTGGTCCCAACCTTCTGGAGCTTACTGTCCAATGAATACGGAGACGTCTCCCAGTAACACTCACCACTCACTTCCAGCGCTCACCCTGATAACTTCTGCTGAGAATCGTTTCTGCAGA